TCTCGGGTCTGCAAATTCCGACTTGTGATTTGTGCAAATCCAGATTACATTGGCTGCTCTTGGCACGCGCGTCCTATTTTCCTTTTTTTTTTTTTGCTAAGAAAGCCTTATTATTACTATAATAATAATAATAGCGTGCGCTCGCACATACCTTCAGAACAGTCCTATGCTCCAGGTGACAGCCACTGGGCGTCTCACCACTGTTGACAGAATTTGACTTTTTAAAGGTTAGGGCATGCATGCCAGCAATTTTATTCAGAAAAGAGTTCACTGTTTTGTTTCTAGGATATTTTATTCTCGAGGACTTCCGCATAAAAGTTTTGCTCAGGAGGAAGATTTGGTTTGCGTTATTGCTGTAGATTTAGGTACTACTTTAGAAATGTCACATAAATTCTCCCTTTTGTGATTACTTTGTCTAAAAGCAACACTGGTAAAATTATTGTGGTGAAGACCTTAGCCACGAGAAGGTAAACTTCAAGATTCTGGGTTAAAATGTGAGAAGTTTTGGGACCAGGATGGCCAGGGCAAAATGAAAATAAAATAGTTCAGATACCTTTTGAAAGCTTGCATTAAAGCAGAATTTAATATATATCTATGTATTATTAGGTAATAGGTAATTAGGTAATACTAATAGGTTCGAGGGATAAGGTATCTCTTACTATTTTCCATCAAGTTATTGTTTACTTTGTTGTTGTTGATTGCCTTGGAGTTGAGCTGGATTCATACCGACCCTATGAACAAAAGGTCTGAAGCCCTTCTATAACTATCGACATTTATCGAAGTTCATAGTTTCCAGAGGCATGTTGTTTAGGAAGTGGATGCCTGACTGAATTGCCTAATACCTGCAAATATTTTACACTTCAAATAGATTCAGTGCACACTTTGAGTTTCTGTATCTCCATTTTATATTTAAAAACATAACTTTTATGACATCATCTGGTAGCAAATATTGTGCATAACTGAAGAATAAGATCAGTGAATTGTTGGTAATTTTTTAAGTAATGTCTTAAGCACAACTTCTTTTCACAGAGTGGGTTTTATGTGCATGAACAAAAACATCAAGCCATTCTCATGGATGTGTCATGGAGGAAATGAAACACACACACTCCAACTTTTTTAGCGATGTAACATTTACCGGAATGAAAAAGAGTTGAGAAAACATTGGCTTTTTCTTATACTTGATGCTGTGGAACATTATAAATCTCAGGAACAATTGTAAGTTTTATTCCTCAGTTTGTTTAATCAGAGCTCAAGTTAATAATTAAACTATAAGGTATAGTATCTACTGCCTTCAAGGCTTAATTTGATCTTTATAGTGAAGAGACAACCTCATTGAACTTTGTGTAATACAAATATTTATCTTCTCTACTATTTACGTGTCCTTTGTTGTTGTTCCGCCTCAGAGCCGACCCTCAGCAGGTTTTTAGAGGCGGTAGATAGCATGGGAGGAGATTGCCCATCCTTCTCCCCCAGAGCTCCTGGTGGATTTGAACAGCCTGCCTTTGAGATTGTAGTGCAGCTTTTTACCACTAGGCCACCAGAGCTCCTTTTAATTTGTATAGAAAATGGAAAATCTGTCCCCTTATTTCATAAATGGGCCTTTAATATTAAGAATACATAATCTTTTAGCTTCAGTATACTGCCATCATGTTGCTTGTGACTAACAGGGTCCCTTCAGGAGAGAGCCGTATGGGGGTTTCAATACTATAAATTGTTATAGAGATGGGTTGCCTGCTGTCTGCCTTATCTTTCTCTGGTAGAATCTCAAAATTTCAGTTAGAGGCCCAATTCTTAAGGTAACAACAGCACCTTGTGGAGCCACTACACGAATCTTTGTAAACTACTGGTTTATCTGGAAAGCTAGAGAAAACCTTTTTACTTAGGACTGCCATTTCTTTTTAAGATTTCGATTCCTCTGCCTATTTAATTTGTATCCTGAAACAGCTAATACTTAACAGCAAATGCAGGTGAATGCTGCATATTTGTATATTAGTGGTTTACTATTTTTGTCCTTCTTAGGGTGGTTTTACCTACAGAAGACACTCAACAAATGCTGCTAATAACACTGTGCTTTTATGGTTTCAAAGAACAGTGGTGGCACAGGGGCTCAAGTGTTGAGCTGCTCTCAGGAGAAAGATGACAGTTTCTGTACAGATTCACTCACTGAGGAACTGACTCATAGCTGATCATCCGTTAGATTTGTGATGCTGTCTTTCTGTAAAGACTCTTGGTTGTGTGCCATGGAATTGGAACTTCCAGCGCATTTTCAGAGCCAGTAAATCCCATAAGAGGAGACTGACCTGCCTTCTCCTTGGAACCACCTGCCTTTGGAATTGCAGCGCAGCTTCTTACCACTAGGCCACCAAAGTTCTTTCTGTAAAGGTTACAGCTTTGGAAACCCTGTGGGGCCAGACTGTCCTAAAGAGTTCCTGTGAGTAGGAATTGACTAACAGCAGAGCTTCCTTTAACATAGAGAGCTCTATGTCCTAGTGGGTAGAAAGTGATGCTACCAAGCCAAAAGTGGGTGGGTGATTTTAGTCTGCGGCCCTCAGGTCTGTTTTTAATTGTTTTTTGTCAAACATTCTTCTAAGTGGTATAACACTGGGCTGCCCATTTGCTGCACAGAGGCAAGGCGTGGTTGCTGTGATGCTAAACACTGTGACACTGATGTGTCAAAAGCGATAATGGTTACCCATGGTGGACAGTGTTTGGTGGAGCTTCCCAATTAAAACAAGCTTGGAAGCAGGAGTGGCATCCACTTCTGAAATAGCTTGCCTCCGGAAACTCTACGAACTTGGAGAAACGATGAAAGTTATACAAGTGTTCAGGTCTTTCGTTCATAGGGTTGCTATGAGTCTTCTACAGCTCGTCGGCATTTAATAACAAGAGCTTCCTTTTGGTATTACATTTTTTCCTGTGGCCCTCTTCCCATGCCATTTGTATTTAACTTTCCTTTTTCTAGCCGTCTGGGGATAACCAAAGTGCAAAACCCGAACTCAGAACAACAAAACACACGTAAACAAAAGGAAAACGTTGGTGGGATCTTTATTGGAAACGTAGGTTTGAGCATAATTCTACTCCAACCAGCCACTCCTTAGGCAGTCTCCTCTGAGCGATTAATGAGTTAAACATAAGCTCCTTAAACCAGCAATGTGGCATCTTTAATTTCTCAAAGTGCCCATTTGTGGAATGAGATTTTAAAATGTGAAGTGTGGCAAAGTCTAGCGTAAAAGAGCAAAACCCCAGCAGCCTCCAGCTTTGCCATCCTCCAGCTTTGATCTCATCACCCAAGCCTCGATGCTCATCGTGGAGCCGAGACCAATCAGGAGGCAAAGACTGGGCTTGCATCCCAGCTGAGAAGGCCTTACCTTCTTGTTAGATGACAGGCTGGACTCGCCAGTGGGATCCCACCCAGCTCTGGGCATGCCCCTCGGCGGGCCTACCTCCAGCCATTGGCCCAGTTCGGGGAGGCCACAGCAGGGCCTTAGGAAACAGTTCCTCCCTGGGGCAACTGGGAGCCAGCGAAGTGTGGAAACCATCACCGGGTTCTGGTAACAGATGGGGTTTTTGTAGACTCATTTGGGGGAGAAGTAAGCTTTTCAGCCAGTATATGCCTTCTCCTCTCCCACCTGCCATCCGTCTTCAATTTGCTTCAATTCGGGATTTGACCATAAGCAACCGTGCCTAAAAACAGTGTAAAAAT